GGAAAGAAGTCCGCCTTGGGGCGGCTACGTATCAGGCGATGAAAGAATCGGGTTAAAGCGTGCGATTTCGGAGAGTAGAGACAAATCGATCGATAGAATAGGATGGAGTAGAAGTGTGAGATGTGAATGCAAGAACCAGAAAGAGCTTCTAGTGAGAGCACTCCAAGAACCAAAAAAACCCAAAAAAAACCAAACCAAAAAAACCATGTATAACGCACTGTTCTCCGATCAGCTCGCTTACACGTTCTGTTGAGGTCTTATGAAGTTTTCATCTCAGCGATTTTTTTTCTTTTCCCTAGACTATTTGAAGTGAAGTCAATCGGTTGTGAAATAAGTGACTACAGCTGTGCCATTACCTATATGTGATTGACCAGTAAATAAAAAAAACCAAGTGGAAGCTTCCCCGTCGCCAGCATTTGTGACAGATGTCCGGCGGTACTTTGAACGCGTAGCAGCCTTTCGGTTTTTCGAATTTTTACCAAAACAAAGCAATTTTTCTGTTCTTTTCATTCTTATCGTGGATAATGAGTCTCAAGCCAGTGATTTATGGCTGAAATAGAATCATGATTTTTCCGTGAAGGATTCCTTTAATTTGCAATTAGAGGTAGAGGAATACTAGGGTGAAGCGCACTATCATCAGGTAGCATTGAGAACATAATCTTGAGACTCAACACTTTCATATGTACCACTGAGTGGAGATAAATTACAACAACAGCGATTTCAGGATGTCACTGAAGAAATTGATCGACGTGTCCTACCCTCTCTCAGCTATTGAAAAAGAACATCATCAATAAAGAAGGTGTTCGTCTTCTGGACTGCTCATTTGTCGTTGGTGACAAGCCCGATTGGAAGATGTTCAAGAAAGAGTTGTACGGCAACTTCAAGGAGATCCTCTCTCGGCCGAGCATGTGAGCACTGTTACGTGTTATCATTGGAGAGCTATCTCACACACTCCATGAATGCAGGACATGGTTTATGGGGTCAAGAGATGAAACTTTCGAGTGGGGAATGCTTCAATGGCATAAAAAATCGAAATACTTCTAAGCACCCTGGGAAAAAGTGTTTCTTTTCGCTGTCGTTGACTTTTGTACGAGAGAAACTGCAAAAATTCATAACAGAACTATTACATGCTCTACAGGCTTTTCCTTTCAGGTCAAAGGATCTCTACCTTTCCGCACACATTCCCGAAGCGGTTCATGCATCAATGGATGCGGCTATGTATCCTTCGCAGTACGAAAGATTTGCTCTATATCCACCTGAGATTTTCGAAAAGTTTATTCAGGTATGTTCACATAGTAATCAACAACCAGCGTTTCTGTTTTGCACATACGATGAGATCTCTTCTCCTAGATGCTCGGCGTCAATGATGGTGAACATATAATCCTGTATTCTCGGGACGATCGAGGAGGAATGGAGTACAGTACCAAATTCTCCTGGCTGTTGAAGGCACGCATTCATTCACATTTCTCTTCCGTTACCCATATGGTTAATGATTTTAGTCTTACGGTCACGAGAAGTCATCAGTTCTTGATGGCGGCTTCGCTTTGTGGGAGAGGAAAGGACTTGAAATTAGTACTGAAGACGTACAGCTTCCGGTAACTTTTGGTGCTATCGTCATAGTTGTGAGATGCAAAGCTGCGCAGACTTGATCGTGATCACTCTTAGGCTGGAACGTGGAAGGCCAAAGATAATATCGCTCCTAACAACTATCAAGTATGAGGAGTTGGAAAAGAAGGAAGGGTGGAAGCAGTAATCATGGGAACGGACAGACGAAGTAAAGTTGTGCCTTTAGTTTGGGGCACTTATTGGGTAGTGAGCAAGCAGACTGGGCGGAATTCGATCTAAATGTTGAATATAGGGAGGCGCAACACGCCGTGGTCGCCATGTGAACCAACGCAGGCCGCCTCCACTTTTATATATTATCGCTTGTTACTGCCAGTGACTAGAATCATTCCCTTATTTTTTCAATGCCCACTTGGTTTTTCCGTCCCACAGCCAAATATCGTACTTTCATTTGTTTGAAAACCGGCAGAAAACTTCATGCGTTTGCGGCAATTGTTATCAAAACCACCTTGGTTTATGTTATGAGTGGTCAAAAGGTGGCCGTTTCAGTGCAGGCGTTTTTCCCTGTGCTAGCGGTATTTGTAAGTGGAAGACGTTATTGACCCGAGGTTTCCATTAGACTGGTCGTTCTTAAAAACCCTCAGAACCTGGTTCGAGAATCGAGAGTTGCCTTTCAGTCTGTCCAACTACTTCCCCCTCCCTTCTACATGGCGTTTCTGGCGGGGTAGAGATCAACTGAAAACCCGAAAACAAGGAAATACAACTCATTGGTCCACTACCCTGTGCGCGGAACGGTGCCACTCTGTCAGTTATACAGTTAATTTAATAACACGTTCAGTAAATTGCTTACTAGCCTAACCTCAATAGCGCAAAGAAAAGCAGGTAAACATCAGCGCCTATGTTCGGCAAGAAAGGAGTTGCAGATTGCAAAAGATGGGTTAGTTTTTCAGTGGTGAATGAAATTGAATCTCTCGAAGGCCGTGTTGCAACATCATGAGTGCAATGTGGAGGAGAATCGAGTGGGTCCGTCTGCTGTTTGTTAGCGGCCCCGCTTAGCGAGTGAGGAAAGAACAAAAAGTAGAACTCCGCCAGAAGATGAAAAGGAATTAATTTTGGAAACACTAAAGGGGAAGAAGGGCCAAAACAATAAGGCCGGTTTCTCAATGAAAGAAAGGATGAGAGTAGAGGTATCTACCTTTCCTATTGAGTAACTAGTCCGCTTAATAGATTCGGCTTACACAAACATGATGTGGGGTTAAGTGTAAGGCAAATCCAAAAGCTTTCCCGCTGTTGCCGGTCTCGTCGATCTGTTGTTGTAAGACCCTCGTGGCTGTACCGCAGTTTGTGTGGCTTTCGGCTTCAAAAGCAACTGACGAAGCCTGTTATCTCAAGTGCTTATAGGTAAACTTTCTGGAATGGCTCGCATGCGTGTCCAGTTTCGATGGCACGGAAGGACAGACAGGGATGATGTGCCCTAGTACGTCTTTCGATTACCTCCTTTATAAATTTCCAATTTGAGTTTGGCCTGAAGGGCCATTTGTGAGGAATTTCTTGATGAAGCGGCCCTGAAGAAATTGCATAGAGGGCCATTAGCAAAAATTTTCATGTATAAGTTCCACTTTTTGGGTGGGATTAGATTACAAGAGGGCAACAGACGTTTCCTGTGGCCAAATCTGACTAGAATGGGCAAACGAATGAAAGCTCCGCGTTGATATGCTTTCCATGACATGCCGCGCATGCACTATTCTTGCCCGGGGCATTCTCTAGTGACATTGAATAAGCGCCTAGTACATCTTTCTGAGTTTTTTTTGCCAAAAACCAGGCGGTGCATCAAGTTGCATTTTTTCTTTCACACATCAATTCTCGTAAACCATTTTTGAACCTGGATGGATGTTCAAGCATATTACGATGTGGGTGGGGTACAAGTCGACATTCGACCTCCTTACCCAACGCGTGGTGAGCGGCGCTGCTTGCTAATCTACTGCAGCCTGGCGATGGGCTAGAAGATGAGGAGCATGAAATCATTTGTTCGACAGTTTGGGTTGCCCTCATTCAATTTTACTACATAGCAGAAAGGGGGGGGGGGGGGTGGGCAAGAAGTCACTTTGCCCATAGCGTACATGAACTTTTCATCGCGCAGTGTGTCGCTGTTGATGTTAGATTCATGTCAGAATATCTCTGAGATGTTTCCTCATGTGGTTGCAGCGAGCCGTCCTTTATTGCCCTCATCGTCCTCAAAATGTGACGTCATCTACCATCACAGTCAAACCTAAGGGAGACCATTGTCATAATTGCTGAAGGTTGCTATAAATAAACCTCTCCAATGCGCTCCGCCAGTTAAGTAAGCTTCTTAGAGACAGTAGCTCCAGCCCGCTGTTGCGAGACCCCTTCCGGCAGCGGTTTTCACCAATCTAGTTCGTAATTGGTTGCCAAGGCGATCACATTCGAGGAGCTCGTTGAGGTCGAACCATGCGCCATGTTCCAGAAATAAAATCTTCTGATGCCGTCGGTGTAAAAGGCTATTACGGCGATGCATTGGTTATTTAGGAGTTAAAGGCAGCAACATACCCGGCTATAAGAACGTTCCAGCAGCTGAACTTGTGAACGAAAATGGAATGATGAAAACTCCTGAAGAAATTCGTGAAGGTTGGTCAGATTTAATGTAATATTAATTGTTTTTTCTTGAAAATACTTGACGTGGTGTGAGTGTGGGCGGTGTGCGGATTGTAAAATAAGTTCTATGGGAGCGGCGCCAGGACGGCCGCAAGTGAGGTCGTACGCGCGTCACTTACGCTAATGCAAAATCGTACAGATGTAGTAGCTCCTTGTCGAGACCTAAGCCAGTGAGCTGGTTATTGTGTCGTAGCTATCCTCATGTCTTGACCCACACCCAGCTGTCGCACGGTCTCCATTGATGCTTCGCTTCTCGAAGGAAAGCCAGGTGAGCAACTTTAGAAGACTGCAGATATGGGAGACACTCTCACTTGCCTGTGGGAGGCCTGTGAAATGTGGGTGGGTTGTCTGCTGACCTCTCCCTCTCAGACTCAATATCATTTGTATCGTGAACTTCATTTTTTAATACGTTCCCAACCTGCGGCCCGGCGACAGTAATCCCATTTTTGCAGAAGGAGGAATACCTGGAATAGGTGAGCTACTTCACTTATGTAAGACCATGAATCTTCAAGTTCGCACTTTGACCAGTTTTATTGGGTTTTAAATTATTTTCATTTTTATGGTAGTTTAGACGCTATGACTGATATAGTGAACTTTCAGTGCTTTCACAGAACGGATATAAAGCTGGACAACCAATCGTGACAAATTGTAATACCGGAATGCAAGCAGCGATGCTGGCATTTGCTGTGAAATTGGCATATCCTGAAGAATCGCCGCGGGTCTACAATGTGAGTCAAATCATCAATCAGTATCAGTTTTTGTGAAATAGGAAGACTTCTCAGTGGGGAATTGCATGAGCAAAAGCAGGCCCTCCTTCATAGCCCCCGCCGTCATGAGAAAAGACGTCATCTGTCATCACCGTCAACTTTAAGAAGGCCTGCCGTTACGCTCCAGCCTGAAGCTGCTACATATAATAATTTACTAAATCGGGTAACTGGTGAATAGTCCAGAGACACTAGCTCTGACTATGCGAGACCCCTTTTGACCAGCGTTCAGATAACGTATGGTCGATCTGTCGACGACCTCGTTGAGCTCGTACCGTGAACCATGTTTCCAGAAGGAAAATCTTCTGATGTCGTCGGGGTAGAAGGCTATCATGAAGTGTTTTGACAGAATTGGAATGTGCTCTTCAATTCCAGTTGTCTCATTCGGTTTGAGTTTGGCAGGTGTAAGATAATTC